TTTTGTTAAAAATTTCAGAGTATAAAGTAAAATATAAAAGTTTCTCCGCATCTCCTCCCTCCCAGTCTCACTCCCCTGACGTAACCCTCAGGTTTTTCTCTTAATAGTTATCTCCAGAAACTTTCTATGTACACACACACACGAATGTATCACAAGGTACTCAATCAAATCCCATTATGTGGAAATTCAGGGTTTTTCCAGTTTTCACTGCATCTCTGTGGTTAAATCTTTGCATGCAACTGTGATTATTTCCTTAAGATAAATTCTAGAAAACAAATTTCTAGGGGCGCCTGGATGGCTCAGTCTAGAAAACCAAGCATCTGACTTGGTTTCAGCTTAGATCATGATCTCACGGTTTTGTGGGTTCGAGCCCCTCATCAGGCTCTGCGCTGGCAGCATGGAGCCTGTTTGGGATTCTCTGTCTCCCTCTCTGTTTGCGCCTCCCCCATTCGAGCTGTCTCCGTGTCTCTCAAAAATAAATAAATAAACTTAACAAAAAAGTTAGAAAACAAATTGCTAAATTGAAAGACACAATTTTAGTGCTTTTGATATGTGCAGCCCGTTTGCCCTTCACATGGCTTGTGACAATTTGACACTCTTCCCGGTAAACAACACTGAACTTTTTTAAACTTTTAAAAGTATAACACCCATATAGAAAAGTGGACAAGCCCTAAGTTGGAACTGCACTATTCAATATGGTAGCCACTAAACACATGTGACTGCTGAGCACTTGAAATGTAGCCAGTCTGAATTGAGGTACACTAGAAGTGTAAAAAGAAACACTCACTTTCGAAGAATTGGTGCCAAAAAATAATGGAAAATGTCTCATTAATAATTTTATGCTAATAATGTATTGAAATGATATTTCGGATGTATTAAGCAAAATATATTATTAAAGTTAATTTTACTTGTGTCTTCTCACTTTTTTAATGTGACTACCAGAGAAGTTTTCGTTATATATATTCTTGTATTATATTTCTCTTGGACAACACAAAGTAGGACATAGTATGGCTCCTCAGATAACAAAACCTACCACCTGAGCCATCCACTCCTCATTTGCTTCTCTTCCCCTGCCTGGTTTTCTCCAGCGCCCCCAGCTTCCTGTGCCTCAGTTATACCCGGGGCTCTTAGAACTAATGTAGCACTCTTTGCCACTCCAATTCTTTGCCAGGAATGATCAATAAACTCGATAAAAGTGAGCATCCACTTATGAAGGTAATGAGGTGGCAGATTAAGACAGTACCATAAGGTATAAACTCTGAGTCGCAAATGGAATCATTTGTCAATTAATTTGTTAGGATGTGTAAGTATTTAGGCTTCAGAAATTGCCACTGAGTTTAATATCATGTCCTACCGAAATGTGCACACGGGGCACAGACAGGATACACATACTCGAGAGTCAGTTCATTGATGGAAGTTCGCCGTCCCTCTACGCCTCAATTTTGTTTTTCTTTCCCGTGAAGTGAGGATGATGGAGTAAGGCACATAGTTCCAGACAAGAGTAGTCAGCACTTTGTAAACTCTGGGGGCTGAAGAGATTACCAGGAGATTGCTGGGGCTGTGGGAGCAGCTAGTGGCTGTTTTCTCTCACTCTCCGCCTCCTGAGGTTTGCTCACCCTTCCCATCAGCCCTCCACTTGCCCTTCCACATATATTAACCGTACCAAACACACCCTAGGTACACACAGCTTTTCATCAAAGACAAATGCCATTCACAGGTTGGCTCCCATTCCCAATCCCTCCAGGATAGAAGCAAAATGCAGATAAGGAGGAGGAAAAAGGCCCTTGGGTAAGCATACGAATCTTGCTCGCTTCTGCCCTGTTGTTGGCTTACATCTTGTCCTTTGGATCACTTTTTCATTGGACTCCGCTTTAGTGTTAAAAACAAGAACAAAACAATAAGAGAAGATTTTTTAAAAAAATCATCTTAAAGTATTTGGGGCTCGATTATATGCTAGGACATTTGGAATCTGGCCAAAACCCTTGCTTCATTTCACTGTTGCAGGCTAAGTGGCCTCTTTTGGGAAGATATCCAGGTAAGAGGAGTTAAAGCAAATAAACATCTCTGTTCCGACCTGTCTTCGCCATTCTTTTGTTGTGATTGTATTATGCTTAGTTGTGTGAGAATAATGTTTCTAGTTCTTCAGAAGCCTCTACTCAGAGTTTTTATAAAATTTCATTGTGATAAAGAACAAATATAACCTTTTAACAAGGAAAATGAAAGTTCTCTGTAAAAGACTTCCTCCCTCTAAATTTAGAGAATAAGGGAAATACCTTGTTGAAAGAGAGTGAACCAAGAATTGAAGGAGCACTATCTTTTTTCCATTACTGTTCTGACCTACTCAATGAACTTCAGCAAAATTCTTCTAAGCCTTAATTTTGCTGTCTGTGAATTGGGGACAGAGTATTCCCCTTTCTTCCTATGTTCATATGGACATTGCAATAAACTAATGCAAAAGGAATAAATTATGCCTTGGGCTGCAGTGGTCTTTACTGACATTTGAAATTCCGTTCTAACTCTAGATTCTATGGTTATAAATAATAAATACTTTCTCTTTCCAACCACTGTGTTTAAATACTCTGGTAAAATCTAAAGACTTCTTTCTTTTTTTTTTTTTTAAACATTTATTTATTTTTGAGACAGAGAGACAGAGCATGAATGGGGGAGGGTCAAAGAGAGAGGGAGACACAGAATCTGAAACAGGCTCCAGGCTCTGAGCTGTCAGCACAGAGACACGGGGCTTGAACTCACAGACTACAAGATCATGACCTGAGCTGAAGTCGGACACTCAACCGACTGAGCCACCAGGTGCTCCTAAAAGACTTCTTTCTTATCTCACTAAGCCAGGCTATAATTTTTGCCTTGCACAGACTACCAAGAACCTCTTTTCTCTTTTTATAGTCAAAGCTGAGCACATAACTCTTAAGGTCTTTCTACCTCCCCTCTCTTTGTCCTATTACCCAAGGGTGAAGCAAATTGAGAAGCTTTCAGGGGTGCTATTGGATAAACAAAGTTGAGTAACCTTCCAGCAGCATTGGATGAGCCAGAGACTCAATGAACCCCCTTTTGGTTAAAGAAACTATTGGAACTTTGAGAATAAAACAGTTCCCTCTCTTCTCATCAGCAGGATGAAGCCAATACCTGTAAAATGGCAGATTTCTAGTGAAAACATAACTATGTCCTGAATAGTATGGTATAAAAACATTATGATCTTTTTTTTTAAAAGGGGCTTATGCACTATATAAATTTATTTTTATTTTATTTTTTAAGTTTGTTTATTTTGAGAGAGAGAGAAAGCACGAGTCGGGGAGGGGCAGAGAGAGAGCAGAAAAGAGGGAATCTGAAGCAGGCTCCACGCTGTCAGAATAGAGCCAGATGAGGGATTCAGACTCACGAATCGTGAGATCATCACCTGAGCCTAAATCAAGAGTTGGACACTTAACTGAGCCACCCAGGCACCCCTATAAAGTTATTTTTATTTTCAGACTAGTTTTCCTATCAAAAGCACTACTTCCCAGAATAATTTGCCTGCTCAAAGTTTTGAAAACATTGTCCGCGAAAAACAAAACTGAGTATAAACTGAAAGTCTATAGATACCACTGGCCCATGGGTACTCATAAAGTTTCATTAATAATATCAGCCTAAATGACATTGGTTGGTGCCCTTGATAGCTCACCCAGGACCTCCAGTCTCTGGACACCCTTCTTCTGTCTCCCATCATAGGGCGGTCAATAGGATGTGTCCCCCATGTGTGCCTGGGTTTGGCAGAATCTGCTAGACAATGCTTCTTTTTGCCTGGGCAGCAGAGTCTCTCTTGGGATTCCACTAAGAACAACCTGTACCTTAAGTATTTCTTCTCTTATGGCCAAGTACATCAGATTCCTCAAGGAACCAAAATCACTTCCCCTCCCTTCCTGTGACACACTGTTAGAGCACTCCTCAAACAGTATTATTTGTGTCTTGGTATTTTGCAGAGATTTGGTGAAGTAGCTTTTGGGTTTTTACTTACTGGCTTCCTGCTCTCTGTAAGTTGGATATGAAGGCTATTAAAGAATGAGATGGGGGCACCTGGGTGGCTCAGTCGGTTGAGCGTCCGACTTCGGCTCAGGTCATTATCTCGCAGTTCGTGAGTTCGAGCCCCACGTTGGGCTCTGTGCTGACAGCTCAGAGCCTGGAGCTTGTTTCAGATTCTGTGTCTCCCTCTCTCTCTGACCCTCCCACGTTCATGCTCTGCCTCTCTCTGTCTCAAAAATAAATAAACGTTAAAAAAAATTAAAAAAAAAATTTAAAAAAATTAAAAAAAAAAAATGAGGAGGCCAGAGAGATTCAGGCCAAGAACCAGCCTTCTTTCATACTCAAGATTGCCCCTCTCCTCTGACAACAAGACTTCATCTTGAGACTGGATCTCTCTTTTCTTTTTTTTTTTTTTTTTTTTAAGTGTTTTTTTTTTTTTGGGACAGAGAGAGACAGAGCATGAACGGGGGAGGGGCAGAGAGAGAGGGAGACACAGAATCGGAAACAGGCTCCAGGCTCTGAGCCATCAGCCCAGAGCCTGACGCGGGGCTGGAACTCAGGGACCGCGAGATCGTGACCTGGCTGAAGTCGGACGCTTAACCGACTGCGCCACCCAGGCGCCCCTGGATCTCTCTTTTCTTGATATGAATGCTCTCCCAGGAGATTTCAGTAACCCCCACCAGAACGTTCAGGTTTCCCCTCTCATTCACTCAACAAGCCTGGATCTCCTGCAGCAGGCACATCCCAAACACAAGCGAAGATCCCTACTAAGTGAAGATTTCCTCTTATTTTCATGGAAATCATCCCAGACCAACCCCAGGGATTGAAATTGAGGTGAAGAGGTTGTGGGTTGAGGATGGGAGCAAAGTAGAAGTCAGTGGTGAGGATGGTAGGGGGGTGGGGGTGAGGCATAGAGGGAGGCTAAGTTTTCAAGAAGGCGCCAGGGTGCTTTGTCTCTTCACTCAGGGTCTGTGTTCTCTCTGCAGAATGACATCTTCGAGTGGTCCAGGGACCACCGAGTCCACCACAAGTACTCAGAGACCGATGCTGACCCACACAATGCCCGCCGGGGCTTCTTCTTCTCTCATATCGGGTGGCTCTTTGTTCGCAAACATCCAGATGTCATTGAGAAGGGGAGAAAACTTGACCTCACTGACCTGCTGGCTGATCCTGTGGTCCGATTCCAGAGAAAGTAAGTGAACAGACACCATAGACTTGTCCCTCGGGGACAGGACCAAGAGACAGAGCACAATGGAGTGCAATAATACCCCCAAGTAGATCTCCTCATACCACTTACTCTCTTATTAGGATTTATCTCTGTTTATTCATTTTCTTTTGCTCATTAAGTCTTCCCTATTTACACAATTGTTTTAATTTTAATTTTTAATGGATTTCCTTTATGCCCAAATGTCATTTCCTTCAGACCAACCCACATGACTGATTTCACAGAATCTTTTTCTGTAGTTCCCTACTCCCCCATTAGAGTTTCCCTGGGGTGGTGGGGAGGGCGGGGAGAACTTACTTCATTTTAGTGATCCTTGACTCCAACAGCATTGGACTCTATCCAGGTATACTTCTCTGTTCTCCTGGAATTCTCTTATAGTGATGCCTCTCTTCCCCTGACTCCTAGAAATGTTACACGAGTAGATTTTTCTGCAGAGGAAATGTGATCATGTAACAGAGAGCCTCAAAATGCTTGTGTGCACTAATGGTGTTAGCTGAGCGTTTTCAGCCAGTCAGCATTTACAGGATAAATCTACTCTCAACAGGCACATGGAGAAAATCACTTGTAATTGTGCTGGCAGATAGAGTGGCTATTTTTCACCTTTACCAGGAAGCTGGCATAGACTATGTCCATGTTGGTCTGGATCCACAAAGTTGGCCACTATGAGAGCATTTATAAATGGGCTTTTTGCCCCAAAGTAATGAATTTATGTGCAAAGAGAGACAATTTATGAATTACACTCTGGCTAGAGTCTTGAAATAATATGGTGAAAACGTGGTTACCAGAGGCCATCTCCACTGACAAGCAAGAGTCATATTTGAGACCTTATCTGAATAGAAACTCCTGAAAACAGAAATGGAGGCTGTGCCTTTGTCTGACACAAACGATTCTTGCACGAAAGGACGTACGGCTTAGAATTGTGCTCACTTTCCCCCCGGCCTCCCTCTTTACATTGGAGTGGGCAGCAGCACATAGAAAATGGTGGACCGTGGAGATAGACTGCTTAGGATCAAACTTTGTGGCTCCTCCATGTGCTAGTAAAGACTGGCTCTTGACCATTATCTCCTACAGTTCTTATGAGCACATAATGGAAAAAAAATGTATGGGAAATGCTTGGCTCATAGTTAAGAGCTTAGATCAGTGATTATTATTCCACAGGCAGTTGCTAGTCCAGAGGACTCAGTGTGTTTCCATCCTCTGCTTCTGTTGGTTTCTCCAGAGGGTCACTGTGTGCCTCAACACAGCTCTTTCTGGTGGACACACCCAGTATCAGTAGCCGAAAGTTCTCTAGCAGAAAATAACAAGAGGTTTTTGATGAACAATTAAATGATTTATTCGTTTTGATTTTTCACCATAAACATAAAGTCTTAAAAATCATTAAAGAAAATCTGCAAAATTCAGAACAGCGGAAAGAAAATAATTCAAGTCCTAACACATAAACACAGCCACAATTAATAATCTGTAGTGTATCTTTCCATATTTTGTCCACATATCTGATATATTTCATATGATGACAAGCATACTGCATATGTAATTTTATGTCTTGCTTTTGAACTTCAGATTATGTTGGAGGCACCATTGTTGAAGGCTGTGTGAGTTCACTAGTTGAGTGTCACGGTTTATTTAACGATCACTCTGCAGCTGAATATGGGTGTCGTTTCCAATTCTGTGATATAAATTATGTTGCTATATAATTAGTAATGCTTTGGGACAATCAGGCCTTAGATTAATTTGAAGAGCTCAGATGAGAAGGCAAAGGATCTTCTATTTTATTAATGAGAACTGGGCTGAGTATAATAGTCTGGGTTTCTCTCACCATAAAAATGGAAGATCTTTTTTTCATCTTTTTCCTTAAAAATGTGGTAATTTGATTCATTAGATTTGTACTCATGGCACTTATGTCCAAAGACTATTTCTAAATGCAAGCAGAAGAACAGAGACTATTTCAGCATGTTCCCTAAATAGTTACCTGAGAATATCTTTCCTCACCAGCCCAGTGACCAAAGGGGGTTGTAGCTATCCATCCACTCATATCATCCAGTCATATCATCATTTCGTATATACCATCGAGCTCCTGCTAAGAATTGGTGTTGAGGATACAACCTTCAAGATTGGCGGCTGTATCCCCCAGATTTGCAGACCAGCAGGGATCCCACAAATAAATGTACAGACAGTTATACCCTCGTGAGAGAAGTATTGTAAAAGCGTGCCACAGGAACACAATACGGGCTGGTGAGGGTGAGGGAGGGCCTAGGAAAGAAACTAGCTTCTAAGCCAAGACCTGAAAGATGACAAGAAGTTAGATGAAGATGGGGGAAAGGATATTTAATATATCTGTCGATACATAGAACTATATAGAGCCATTGAACTTTAGAACAGGGAGGGACTTTGTAAATCATTTAGCTCATGCCTTCCACTTCTCCTATGGGAAAACTAATAAACAAAATATAGATAGAAGGTTGCGGATAGAAGTACTGCCTTGGTCTTTTGGGGGTGCTATAACAAAAATACCATAGACTAGGTAACTTAGACAGCTACATTTATTTCTCACAGTTTTGCAGGCTGGGAAGTCCAAAATTAAGGTGCCACAGATTTGGTGTCTAGTGAGAGCTCTCTTCCTGCTTCATAGACGGCCTCCTTCCTGCTGTTTCTACACATGGCAGAAGCGGGGAAGAAGCTCTCTGGGGGTCTCTAATCCCATTTGTGAGGCCTCCACCCTCATGATCTAATCACCCCCCAAAGGCCCACCTCCTAATGCCATTGCACTGGGAATTAGGTTTCAACGTGTGAATTTTGGGGGGACACAAATATTACCCTGTGGCAAGCACCTACATCTCAAATTATTTGCTCCGTGTTCTTTTGATTATACCTTGCTGTCTGAAAAGGGTTACAATGGTTCTCTTAAGTGTAGGTGAGTACTCATGTTCATTGGTAATTATCCAGCCTGGAGAACACAGAGATCCATAATCTGAAATAAGGCTTAGAATCACTGCACTAAAGGAGAGAGCTTCCAGAATACACAGAGGTAGTACAAGGGTTTGGATATTTTCAAGTCTGTGAAGCCAGCTTTATTGGTTCTGCCAGTCAGACTATATGGAGGCAACAGATTCCTTAAAGAATGAGTCCTTGCACTTGGGGTGTAAGCTGGAGGAGGGATGGACCCTGTCATTGGCAGGAATGCCACATCAAGTCTAAGTCCTTGCTACCCTTAGCTGAATGGGGGACTCCTTGCATAACAGAGATTCGGCCCTGGGTCACTTTGATAGTACACCTTATAGAATTGATCTCCTTGTCAGAATCCCCACCTGCTCCTCTATGGTTCTCTGAGGGCACCAGGCTCTGTTCTGGTTTTGATCCCCGGGGTTTGCAGCTAATTCACTAATGTTAGTGCTGCTCCAGCACTAATATTGCAGTTGGTTGATAAACTTGTGCTCAGCCATCCTCATGACAGTTTACCAAATAAAAGCTTGCCTTGTCAGAGAGCCAGGCTTGATCAACATTCCATTATACAGTATAACAAAAGAGAGAAGATAGTGGCATTAAACATAACAGGAGGACAACACAGTTCAAGCAATAATTATAGAGTTTTCCTCTAAAGAAAATTTTACCAAGGCTATGATAACAGGTAGTTAACTGGACTGCTTCAAGTTTTGCTCTGCTGCCTGGTTGTGAATGACAAAATGGCAGGCATTAGGAGGTGAGAGGGAGAGAAGCTAGTGATATCACATTCAGACTTTGGCAACTGAGCCCTGCCTGAGGTTCTATGCCTACAAGAGCTGTGCTTTTCCCTACAGGGTGAGGAGATCACAGGGCAGAGGCACATACCACCTGGAATCTTCTCCCACTTGTATACGTTGCCTTGGGCTCCAAGGAACCTAGAATTCCCTGTCCAAATGGCTCTGAGCCTACTTCCAGAGCCTACACTGGCCTCTCCAGGGCTCTGTCCTCCTGGTAGAGATGTGTACACCCTAGTCCTGAACAGTGGCCAAGAGGCAGTCTTAGCCTGGAGATGAGTTTGGCTGTCCATAGAAAGAGGATAGAACTAGGGGTAGAAAGAGAATGGGGCAGATCACAGGCTAAGGGCCTCCATCTCTATTCCTGGTCTGGGCCCTACGAATATCAGGGTGAGCCTAGAAGGGGGCCACTCATAAGACTGGCAGTAGGTCTGTCAGTTAGGAATTGTGTTTGGCCAAAACAGAATAGAAGTTTATTTCCCTCACATATAAAAGAATTGTGAAGGCCCAGGTTATGGTAGCAACAGTGTCAGTTGAAAACCAGATTCTTTGATCTTTCTGCTCCACCAACCTTAGCATGTGACTTTCATTCTTTCATTTTAAGGTCCAATGTGACCACTAGAGCCCTAATCAGAAGGAAGGTGAGGGTGAGGGGTAACACTGCTCACCTGAGTCAGTCACCTATAAGGAGCTTTCCCAGGAGCCACATACAGCCTATCCACGCACCTCTCATTAACCATGTCAGGAAATGTAGTTTCTTGGTTGATGCCTTACACCCTTGCATAAATTCCTGGTTTTGTTCCCATGGAAGAAAGTACGAATTGGTATGAGGTAGGCTCTCCCGTAGGTACTTAATTACTTAAGCAAAATAACTAGCCATCACAAGTGGCTCAGTCTGACAACGTTTTCATTATAAAGCAAGTGAGTGGACTTTCTGCCACCATTTTCTAAGCAGAAACTGGAATCTCACATCATTTTTCCGAGATGGCAGAATGAGGATAAAAATCCAGAGGCTGTTCTTCCTAACGCTTTGTTTATCCCATTGATTCCCATATTAGATAAGAAATTCCCTTAGAAGTAGCATGCAGACAATGTCATGTGTATTTTTGAAGGAGTTAACAAGGATACTAAGCCAGACACATGAAAACAAGGTCCTTGCCTCATCGCCATAGTATGGGATTAGCTAAGAGAAAAATGGTTGGAGTGATTCAGAAAGGTAAAGCACTTCTGTTT